TACTCTAATATTACTGTGTTCTTTTGGCTTCTAAGATTGTTTAATGCACTTTTTGTTGCTGCTTCTTTTAGCTTAGTACTGTTGAGTGGTTTCTTATTGGTTTTCTTAAAAAAACTTGAGTTTCTTTTTCAACAATTTTGTGTCAGAGTGATTGTCGGGAAGAGTCCAATCTGTTTTTTTTTATTATTATTATTTTTTTTTTTATTTATTGTTTTGTATTTTTTATTATTTACCTCTATATCTCTGTTTTTTTTTATATATAAAAATTTTTTTTTTGTTTTTTTGTTTCTTTACAAAAAAGACATTATCAAATTAGTAAATATCTTATTGTAGAGTGATAATTATATAAGCAGTTTATCTCTGTTTAAAGTAATATGACAAATTACACTTAGATGCCAATAAGGTAGCCAGATGATGCTAAACTTAAGTATTAGAAAAGTTTTTTGTAATCTGTATAGTATCAAGAATTCTAATATAATTACTTAAGTTAAAAATAAAATAAAATAAAATAAAAATAATAATAATAATTATAATATATTATAAAAACTATAAAAGATATAAGGATATGATGATCTAATGAAGTAATTAGGTTGTTAATCCACCAAGTAGTAGGTTAAGTGTTTAAATTCTATTAAAGATAAAAATTTAGATAATCACTTATATAATATTTATATTATAGCAACTGTTAATAATAATTAGATTAGGATATTTGTAATGATAATTACATCAGCATGACTAGCAAGTTATGGAGTATCTGTGTAATTTATTATACAGAAGAATGTAAACTGACAAATCAGATAGTGCAAACACTATATAAGTTCTTATAATTATATAAATTTGTTAAAATTAGATAACAAGAAGTTTATTTGAAAAGACTTAAATAGAGAGATAGTTAGATCTTTAACAACCCTATTATAAAGATTAATTTGAAAAAACAGATATCAAAGTTATAGTACCTGATTGTATTAGCTAGATAAGCAAGAAACTTCAGGTTAGAAATCTTAAAAATACTACTAATCAAACTATTAAAACAAATTAAAAAAAAAGAATATTAAGTTAATCTAATATACTAATAAACTAATCATAGTCCTATATAGACTATCTGAATTGAATATTTGATAAAAAGACTAAATAAAAAGCAAGAGTATACTAAAGTACCAAGGTTATGCTATGAAGTAGATAATAAGATCTATATAAACTTTACAAAAATATAATAATTAAATGATATAACTTTGATTATAAGTGTTAGTTTTGCTATAATAATATCTAAGTCAACTGTAAAAATAATTACAGAAGGCTTTGAAGAATTTATTTTAAGAATAAATTAATTTTAAGATTATGACAATGATCTGATATTTGAATATGTTTTAATAAGTTAATACAGATTATAAGTTTAAAAGATTAAAAATAAAACATCTAAGCAAAAATATTAGATATAGCAATTGGTAAGAAACCTTTAGACAGACTTCTTAAATAGGTAATATAAAAAAGTTAGATATATAACCAATTGTACTCTTTCCTGTAATGGTTCATAAAATCACATTACCAATAAGTTGTTAATAAAAATCAAAAGACCAATGAGTTTACCTTAATATCAAAAAAAAAAAATAAAATAAATAATATATAAAAAAGTGTAGATATAATACCATGTTGAATGTTTAAAGCAAATAGTAATTTAATAACACAAAGTAATGTAACTATATGTAATAGTAATGCAAAAAACCAATAAAGTATAAGTTATAATTTAACATTATAAAAAAATAATAATAATAATAAAAAATCCAATTGGTTAGCAAAATTAACTCCTGCTTTACTTATTTTTGCAAGTGATACAAGCCCAAAAAGGAAGTTTGTTGTTATTTCACTAAAAGCACGTAAGATTTGACCAGCGTTAGGGCTAGAGTATAAAGAAGATCATATAGTAAAATTTGGCCAGGAATTTTTACTGGCGATGGTTTTGATCTCAAAGATTGCACCTGATTTTGCGATCTACATAGAAAATTTCCTTTTTGGGCTTGTATTACTTGCAGAAATAAGTATACGTACGCCTTATTTACTGGAGTTCTTTTAATAGTGATCTTTATTCTTCTTCCTTGTCGTCGCGTAGTGGTGGCTAAAATTCACTTGATAAAAGGTTCGAAATCACTTGTTTATTATTCATTCTTCACCTTATATATGATGATATTGTGATTTATACAACCCGAACGAAAAGCTTGTGTAAGGGGAAAACATACGGACAGTGAGGTTTCCTCGCCGTCATCTTGACCCTTGGGAAGGTCTGAGAAAAACTATAAAAATCTCTAGCTGAGATTCCTGTGAGAATGGGGGCGAATAAACAGAAACGATACCCTCCTGGATTATAATATGAAGTCTTTTGACAGATTGGCATGGTCCATGGAGTGTTTGAACGCGGTTCGCTAGTGGTAGCTCTATGAAGTTCGATACACAAGACATCATATTATGATGTAACTCAATTCAGACTACTCTTTCGTTCGGGTTAACTTATATCTGATTTGATAATCTTGACCTTTGTTATTCTTTACTATTGGTTGTAATATTAATCACTTTACTTTCTCTTTTTAAAGGAGGATGAAATCGAATACTGGATCTTTAGGTATGTTTCAATGTTTGATGAAGAAATTCATTATGTACAAAACATAGTAACGTAATGATTCTTTTAGATTATTAGTCTGCATTCTTATGATTAGTCCATAATATGGCTCCACTATTTTTGGTTTAAAATTTTTTTATGTTAATAACCTTTACATGAGTACAGAAAGAAAATACCCGTAAATTACAAACGTTCGCACGGCCTACTTAAATTGATCTCACAATGATTACATGAGATCAAATGATCATTCTAATTGTTTCGATAACATGTATTTCTTGGTCATCCAACAGATTTATTAAATAAAATTGATAAAGAACTAATCACAAGATTTGATTGAATCCGTAATATAAAAAGTATTGAATCAATTTACAGGCTTCCTTTCCGTCACTTATATATACAGTTGCAAACGCATAAATGAACATTTATTATATTGGGTTGATCTTAATGTCGCGTTTAGGAAATTTATTATATACAAAATACCCGATGCGTATGTGTACAAACAGTAACTTCGATACCGCTAATACCAACAGCTCAGGATGATAACGATAATTTAAGCGTTCGTTTGATGGTATATCTCGATATAATGAATTCCAGCCACCAAAGTTTGATTCCATGACAACCTCCGTGCTTAGAGTATTGTTTTCACGAACGATCGTGTACTGTTTCAATAATTTGATCGAACTTTTATAGATCGGTGGAATTTGAGCTTTTACTAATAACGCTGGCCTCGGTAGCCGTTAATTTTGGATGTGTATTTGGTTATTGATATTTTCTCTTGGCAAAGCGATCGGCATGAAAATTGTTTACGCGTACATGATTGCAAAAATTTGCACGATAGATAGTGGGATTAAATATTTAGATAAATTAGTAAGAAAAAAAAAGCTTTTTTATTTTCACAATACGATGATAATGTGTTAAAATTTTGTTTTCTGTGTAATAGTAACAGATTTTTAGAGGTTACATATTAACCCGAGTCGTAAATTTTTGACCCGGTTGAACTGTTTTGACACGGGTGTCCTGGTTTACTATAACCTGGTTCTAAATTCTATTTACGATAAAATTCGTTAAAATCAAGGCGAACACTAAGAAATCTCAGATCTGTATCATGGTGATTAGCCAGATCACTTAGTAAGTTGACTACTTCGCGCTATAAATAAAGGGTGTATAAGCAAACCAAGCATTACGCATACGAAATAACAGGTTAAAATAAAATTACTTTGAAAAGACCAGCAACTTCAGTTAAATGTTCTTGAATCATTTTAAGATTTTCTCTGTTGGTATTATCCTTGCGTAAAAATTCTTTTAAATTGAAATTGTGCAATTCATCCTATATCCAGTAATCATAGTTAAGTGATTTATATATAGAAAAAAAATTATGATTGAAAAAAAAAAACTTTACCAAACCATTTTTGTACTGCAATATAAATTGAATTATGTTCAATAACTTGGACAAGTAATTCTTAAAAAAACAAGAGAATATATTTTTTTAATACGGTGCTTTTTGTAAAATAAATAAGTGAATTCTCAAACAAAATAATCGACAGATTACTTGATTATTTGAGGTACCCAAAAAGACTTTTGTAGTAACATTCGTTAAATATTTATTATGAGCTTCGATAAGTGAATCCAAGTCTCCTGACTTTATACAGTCTTTAATAAGTTCATCCCATGAACATTCGATAACCTAAATATTTATAATAATCAAATTCCGATAACAATTCTTATTGCGAAAACAATTAAAGATTATTTAATACCTCAAATAAAATGTAATATTGCAATTGGCATGTAAAATGTATCATTTCGCTACAAACAAATCTGCTTGTATTTATATCCTTTTTCAACTCTAGTAATAATAATATTACTGTTAAGTAAAACGGTAAATATCAAAAAATGTGAAATTCATATCATTCAAACCTTCGATTTGGTATAAGTTTCTCGCGCTAGCCATATTACGGCGCCAGGTAGACGACAAATCGTGTTCGACTCGCTTTAAACGCCATAAGAAATTGAATAATTGAAGATATTGCTGCATCGCATGTGGCGTAAAAATGGTATTTATAGGCGAATCAACATGATAATCCAAACTGAAAACATCCCAGCCAGCTTCTCCGAAAGACGACTGTGTGAAAAAGTCTCGATCAAAAACTTTACTAAGATTTAAGTAATTCCTATGAATTTATGTTAAGTGCTTATACCTCAAGGAGTCTAACATCCAATCGACGAAGGATGTCAGGATCATCATATTGTGCATTTGATGCACGAATAGCTGCTTCCAAAGTACCAGTAAGATTATGACGATAGAGCGTATTTGCAGGTTTTGAAAGGCCTGGTCTATTATTCAAATTTGAGACTGAATAATAAAAATAAGTGTAATATACAGGTAATATATATAAAAACTTACCCGAGTTGGGTCATTAAATGTTGTATAAAATCACCTTGACCGAGCAATAAGTAGCGTTTCAAGGCAGTAAAGTGTTCTTGAAGTTTATATTTCGTGAATAAAATATTAAGAAGCCGCTGACTTGTAGCAGTGTAAGTTGCGTCTATAGAACTTTCTAACGCTATAATATCACCATATTTCAACACTATGAAGATAAAATAGTGTTAAGAATAATAATTGAATAAAATTCAGAACCTCTTTAAACGTTTCAACGCTTGCCCTTATCAGCTCCTACATTTGTGACTACCCAGTCACTATCATGACAACTATATCTAATAAAGTTGAGTGATTTTCCTATGGCAAATATCTGCTCAAAAAAAGGTATGTGTCAATTATTGTGGTGGTTTTTTCTAATTGTAAATTAATGATAGAAATTATACAAACTTTTTTGGCAAGTAAAGAACTAATGAAAGTTGGTTGCATGTCTGGTCGAATAGTATATTTTGACTGCCACAGATCTTCTTCTTTAACATCTGGATCACAAGCAACAAAAAATTCACCGAAAGGGTCCTCTAGTTCACCACCATAAATCCAGCGCTGAAGCATTTCAAAGAACGGTCTAGAAACCTATCGTTATATAATTTTTTAATACTTTTTGTATATAACAAGTGGTTTTCAATATAAACCATAGATGGATCACCTCTTCAAGTGTATTGTTAATAAACTGCTGAATAAACGGATCTCCATGGTTTGTGTAATTATAGATCGTTGATACTAAGGCTCCACCTCGTACTTGCTTACAACATTCCACCAACACGGACATTATCCGTAATTTTAACAAAGACTCTTGAGTCCATAAAAATAAACGTTTCAATGAAGGTCCTTGAGATTCAGCTTGTTGACCATCCGCTACTTTCGTAACTTGAGCTTCAAGAACGGCAATGAATCTATAATATTCCGTCAGTTCACGTTGTAAAGCAGAACAAAAGGCCTGAAGGATTTCGTTAATCGTCCAACTTCATAAATCGTTGAAAAAATTAGAATATTATGATCTGATCTGTTGAATCTAGTACCTGACCGACCAGACCAATAGATATATCATTCACATTTGTGTATACGAAATCATTTACACGTCGATAAAGCCAACCTAATTCCGAGAGTTGATGTAAAAGGCTACGGGTGGATCGGGTAATTTCGGCCTGTAATTTATTTGTAATTGCACTTTAAATAACTTAATAAAACAGGAATAAATGTATTAAACTATATTTTTACCTTCGAATCGATGATATAAGATGAACTTTTATCATATTTAATATATTGGCCATCGATTCCTTGAAATATAAATACGATATCGCGTAACAATAAAGCTTCGGGAATCTCATTATCTTAAATATATTAAAAGATAGTTTTATAGTTATTCCATATAAAAATAAGCATAAATGTTAAGAGAAATAGGCAACTTACTATTATCTAATGTTGCCAATTGTTTAATTAGTATTGTTTTAGGTGGAAGTGGCTCCTTTTCTTTTGAATAATTTGAAGACTGTTTTGATAGAGGCGATACATTCGGTATGAACCGATTTTTTAACTCTTCGGATGTTGATTTGATTCTTTCAGACTCTAGAGATTTAGAAATATCTTGTAATCCACGATACGCAAATGCTTGCTCTATTGGCTAATAAAAGGATTTCATATAACTATTATTAGTATTTAAAAAAACGTAGGTTCACCTTATGTACTCACATTGTTTACATTTCCAGTTACTTCGCCATTGGCTGACTGTTCACTAACTGATAGTAAAAAATACAATATTGCCCATTTACGCGTCACGATAGACTATAATAGCAAATTCCAATAAAGTTTTAGCAATAGATATATTAATGAAAAAGAAGATAGATCACTCACCTGAGATTGTAATTTTGTGAATAAGTTGGTGAAGCGTAACGCTTTCGAAGAGGATTTATGTTCACGAATTACTACGATTTTGATAAATGTTAGTTACTATAATAATTTTAAACTCGATAATATGCAGAACTTATTATATTTCAAAATTAAAACACGAATACATTTTTTCTTTATAAGATCGGATACGTGAATTTCGTCACTGACTATTGAAGGTGTTATTCGACTAACCGGAAAAACGCATGTAAGCATAAAATTCATCCCAGACAATATATATATTCTGCAAAAGAACTGGGCACTAGTAAGATTTTGTCTAATATATCGCAGTTTCTAACTTTTTTTTCATTTATGCGAGAATTTTACGAGTCCCACAATCCTTTTGAAGAACGATTTCCGAATATGTTGTGAAATGTACAAGAAACACTGCATTCGCGTAATTAAATACCTTCCTAATATCCGTAAACAATAATCGAATGTTTGCTGCTGTCGCAATGTCAAATCAGTAGTTTTTCCGGTTTCACTTGAGCCAGGCACGTCTTTACTACTCGTTTTACTCGTAACTTCACGCAAAAAGTGTTTAACTAAATAATTAAGTGTACGTGTAATTCGTTCATATTCGATTTCATTGTTAAGAGGCTGTGAACTTCTTGTATTAATATTCGAAATTCCAATACTAGTCATTGTCAAATAAATGTTGTTTTAACTGTTATTTTTCGTGTTAAAATTGTGACTTTATATATTTTTATTCTCTGTACTACATAAACACTGGATGCGTATCTCGACCGATTGATTTTAAATAAGTAAAAAAAAACTGGATAAATGATTAATTTTTTACATTGGCATGAATATACCGTCATTAAAATGTCATTTAGCATATTTTTTATGTCTTTTAACTACATTTTCCCGCTATTGAGACTTTTTCTTTACTTCCCTAAATCTTATTTTTGTGTTTGTATATATATTAAACTATATATGATTCACAACTTTTAATTCATTAATTTATTTTTTCTCAATCCATATCAACAATCTTTGCATCAGATGAAGATGCAGTAGCTTCTTCTTCATCTTGTTTTTCACTAGTAGCTTCAAAATTTTCAACCAATTCTGGAATATCATCATCATCAGCACCAGTATCTGCTTGAACCCCTTGAGAAGAAATACTATTCTGCTGATAAGATTCCGCCAACTTACGAAGGGACGCAAGTGAGTCAGGACCCAATTGATTCAAAATACCCGGTACAAGTTCGGTGAGTTCTTTATCATCGCCTTGGCCGTAGATTGCAAAAGTATTCGAATGGATTGATGCTTGTACTAAAACATGAAAGTAAAATTATTACCTAATAAAATTGAGGAATGTTTTGAAGTTGGATAGAATTATATAATGAAGAATATCAATTACCTTTTGGAGCAGTAAAATGAATGACGTTGCCATCTTCCTTAAACATATTCACTTCTTCGATAGATGAAATGGGTTGGACACCGAGTTTCTTGAGTGTGGATTGGAGCTTCTTGTCATCGTTTGTAGCAGTCTTATAAACTTTTTTAACTTTGCGACGTGGTGTACCCTTACCACCTATGATAAAATTAAAAAATCTAAAATTAAGACCACATAATAAAATTGATCACTCGGCATAGAGGTGAAGCCGTGACTCATTTACGATAACTGTATGTTTTCGTGGATGAGAAGTTCCTTAACTTGTTAGATAAAAATTAAGTCTCACCAATTCGAACTTGGGACTGAAGTTTGGCAAGTTTGGCTTCATTCATATTTATTATATAACTATATCATTTATTTGGAATAAATATACCACCCGAAGCAAACCCGTAAAATAATAATAATTATCGCTTTTGTCAATATAATTAATAACGTCTATCAGTTTGAATTTTAAATTGTTATTACCTTCTTTTCTAAAGAACACGCACCGTCGTTAAAATTAAGTATACGTAAAGTTATAACGTTAATAATAGATGAAAAATTTTTTGACGTACATAGGTGATACGATTTGTCACGCAGATCACGTGTATAAAATTTTTTATTATAGATCAGATGATCGTCACATAGGAATATGCCATAGCACCCTATGTGAATACAAAATTGGTGTAACACGTAAATCAAAACAATCTTTTTTGTCTGGAGCGAAGTAACAGACTTATACTTCTACGCCTTTGATAACCAAAAATTCGGTTTTGATTCATTTATATTAAAAATATCAAAAAAGTAGTTTTGTTATTTTCCGGATGTCACGTCATGTTTTTATATAGTAAAGTCAAAATTTTACTAAGTAAATCGATTATATGCTATTAAGTAAAATTGTTCAGATTAAAATACATATATTTTGAAATTTATATACAAATAGGACAATTTTTTACTAATATGTTTTTCAAAAAAAAAATATATATATATTTTAATTTTTGTAAAAATTTAATTAGCAAAACAAACTTTAGTTTTTTGATACTTTTTTAACTAATAATCTTTTTTTTAACTACTTGATTCATTGTGCTTAGTAAATTGACAAGTATATACTTTTTATGAGTTTTTATTATTATAAACTTTATAATTAAATTAAGTTCAAATATTGCTTACAAGTAACTACTATTTATTATTAAACTTTTTTAACAGAATTATAACAGATTGATTATATTTAAAAAAATATTATTCTTTTATTAAAAGTTAAATTTGTTAATTGATGATCTACCAGTCATTTGGAAGATTATAGTATAATGTGATGCAAATTACTATATAATTTATTATAAAATAAAATGCAATGTACACCTATCTAAAACTTTTTTGGTACTAAGTTAACAGTCTAAGTTGATTAATTAAAAGTTGTAAAGCTCATTAAGGCATATCTAATAACAGTTAGATCATTCAAATTGGTTCAGTAGATGCAGAGATATTGTTAAAAAACACTTAGTCAACTATGTAAAATTCTATACAAACAGACTATTGTTTACATAGAATTTTATATAAAATTTTACATAATTGGCCAAGCATTTATTGATAATATCTCAACATCTACTAAACCAATTTGGATAATCTAACTGTCATTAGATGCATCTTAGTGAATTCTATAACTTTCAATTAATCAACTTGGACTATTAACTTAATATCAAAAAAAGTTTTAGATAAGTGTATGTTGTATTTCATTCTATAGTAAATTACATAGTGATTTGCATCACATTACACTATGATCTTTGTCTAGATAACTGGCAGATCATCAATTAAATTTATATTATAAAAAAATATATTATATTTATATATATATATAAAGACTTATTCTTCAAAAAACTGAAAAAACAGATGTGGTAATTTAGTGAAGTGATCAAGTTATCAACCTTCTAAATAGTAGGTTGGGTGTTCAAATCCCATTGATAGTAAAAATTTGGATAATCATTTATGTAATATTCATATTATAGCAACTGTTACTAATGATTGGGTTAAGATACCTGTAATGATAATCACACTAGCATGACTGGTAGGTCATAGGACATTCATGTAATAGGTCACATGACATTGTCCTTTGGGACAAGGTTGTGGTTACATAAAGGAATGCAAACTGGCAATTAGGTAATGCAAATGCTAAATAAGTTCTTGTACCTATATAAATCTGTTGAAATTGGATAACAAAAAGTCTATTTGGAAAAATCTGAATAGAGAAGTAACCAGATCTTTAATGACTCTATTGTAAAGATTAGTTTTATAAAATAGATACCAAGATTGAAGTAGCCAAACAGGCAAAAACCTCTAAGTAGAAGGTACTACCAACCAGACTGCTAGATCGAACCAGAGGAAAAGGATATTAGACTAACCTGATATATCAATGAACTGGTCATAAATCCTACTGAACTATCTAAATTGTGAGTTTGGTGAACCGACAGGGGTATACTAAAGTATTTCAGATATGCTGTGAAGTAGATGCTAGGGTTTGTGTAAACTCTACAAGAGCATCACAGTTTAATAATCAGCCCTGACCACAAGTATTGGTTTTGCTATAATGATATCTAGGTCAGTTATAAAAATGGATACAGAAGGCTCTGAGAGGTTTACTTTGAGGATAAATTAGTTCTAAG